GAAACTTCTGAATAGAAACAATGGGTTCCTGTGGTCCTATTCATATCGGGTGTGAACATCTGAATACCAATAATCCTAAGTATTTCTACTGTGAAGAAAATGAGCTTTTGGTCACATTTGGTCTGAGCTCTGATGTCTAAAAGTCCACTAAAAGTCACTATAGTGAATAAAAATATGAGCTTTTGGTCACACTTCCTGATCCTCAGTCTCCACTAATATACATTATGCACATATGTAATAAGTGTGCATGAACATGAAAATACAAGACAGAGGTACTCTTCTGCTCATCTTATGCATAAGAACAAACATTTTTTTCAAAGCGCATTTTGAATGCAAAGAGTGAAAACCTGCAGTACTTAAAAAAATATAACAACTTTTCCCAGACTTTAATGGAATAAACCTTTAATTACAAAGATGTTAAGGCTGTGAGCTTGTGAGATTCTTTTAAATTATTTTTGTAAAGTGTTGATGCCTTTTCATACATGTTTTTTAATCAATAATATTTCATATTATATTTTTCTCTGTCTAAATTATTTAATGTATGGGTTTGGCAAATTGTTTGTACTACATGCATGTATAGACAGCGGACAGATGTAGATTAATGCAAAAGTGTGCTTTACTTATCTCACTGGCACATGAAACATAGATTCTATATTCCTCAAAATGCATTCAAACATCTTGCTTGAACTGTGTCCTGTCACAGTCTTTCTCTCACTGGGCTGTTGGACTGTCTTCTTTTTCCTCTCTTTTGTCCACAGACCAGCTGAAGGTGAGTTTGTAGATTGGTGTTTGGAAAGCGGACCAAGAATATTGATGACTTGTCTTGCATGCAAACACTTATACAAAAGTTTGTCTAATAAAAATGAGAATTTTCATAATTTAGCATCTAACAAACTTGTTCTGCTTCAGAATCAGCTCATCTGCTGCATTGCTGTTAATGTCACCTGAACAGCTCTCGTTATCGGCTACTGTTGTAGCTTTTCTAAAATCTTGCCAGCAGTTAAGATGATGGTCCACTCAAAAATGTACTCACCCTCATGTCGTTCCAAACATAGGCTATATGACTTACTGTACGTTCTTCTGTTTAACACAAAAGATATTTTGAAGAATGTTGGTTTTGGACAAAAAAAAAAAAAGCTAAATAATTTCTCAAAATAACTTTTTTTTTTCACAAAAGAAAGTAAGTCATACAGGTGTATATGACAAGAGGTTGAGTAAATGATGACAATTTTCATTTTGTTAGAACTATTCCTTCAACAGAGAATTTTAATGCTGATTAATACGTACTGGTGGTTACGGCAGTAATAGCAAATCATGTTAGATTTGAAAAAGAAGCTTTACCAGATTTTTTTTAAATATAGTGTTTCATTCAGAATACAGTTAAAGCTGCAGTCCGTAACTTTTGGTGCTCTAGCGGTTAATAAACAGAACTGCGTGCGTCTTGCGGAAGAACATTGTAGCCGGAGCTACTTCTCTCTGTTTATGTCTGTGGCGAATCACACAGGTACTGGGCTCCTCCGCAGCGGTACCTACCCGAACCAGTCTAAATAGTCCGAATATAAACACTTATTATAGGCAGTGTTGGGGAAAGTTACTTTTAAAAGTAATGCATTACAATATTGCGTTACTCCATAAAAAAGTAACTAATTGCGTTACTTAGTTACTTTTTATGGAAAGTAATGCGTTACGTTACTTTTGCGTTACTTTTAAAATCTGGACAGGGCTTGCTTGTTTGTTTTTAAAATAAAAAAGTTATATTTTTGGCAAATATAAAAGCTTTTTCACACCAAAAGTGAAATGAATGCGCCTCAGGCTGAAGGGAAAGTACAGTAGAATGCAGAAGAAGATTTTTTTTTTTGTGAGTGAGATGAATTAATGCATATTCATATTTATTTTAGAACTACAGTAGCATCTGTTTTCTCTCAACATGGGGACAGGAGAGCTGTCAGTCAATAAATTGGGAAAAAAAAGTAATTTGCGTTACTTATTTGAAAAAGTAACTCAGATATTCTCTTGTAAATTAAAAAGTAATGTGTTACTTTATTAGTTACTTGTAAAAAGTAATCTGATTACGTAACTCGCGTTACTTGTAATGCGTTACCCCCAACACTGATTATAGGTGTACCGTAGGGATTCAGGACAAGCCAAAAACACGGTTTGGAAAATGGATTCATGGTGTACTCGCTTATTATATCAATTTTGTACATTTTGAACACAAAAAAGTTACGGACTGCAGCTTTAAGTATACAGTCACAATACAGAGGTAAAGTGAGTCGTGAATGCGGTTTCAAATAAAATATGGCTATGGGCCCTCAATTTTGTCCGTAGCCACAACTGATTTGTAATGTCTGAAATTTAGATCTACAGTCCCTGTCTGCTATGTTAAACATTTGATCTGACATGCAGATCTCATAGTGACAGATCAAAGACACACAGTCAAGCACAGTGTGCCACAATAAGATTAAGAAAGGCACATATAGGGCTACAGTAGATGAATGTACTTGAATGACTGGATGCCTTTTCTCTTTGAAATTCATTAAACATGTCTAAGGAAGTATTTTTAATTTTCAAAGACCCATTCAAAACATTCATTCCAGTTCATATCAATGTTTATACAACTTCTTTTAACAGATGAAAAGTTCATGACTCTGTCTGTCTGTCTGTCTGTGTGTGTGTGTGTGTGTGTGTGTGTGTGTGTG